GGACTGCAATAAACTATTAGAGCCCACGCAATAACCTTGTGTGCAGCAATTAGCAATTGGCAAACTTTTTAAGGAAACATATTGTACAATTTGTAAAATTAAGACGCCAACACAACTGGCAGTGTGCATGACAGTGGAAGAGCAAAGAGAGTTTTTACATATGCGTTTGAGAGAAAAATTGTTTATCTCTAGTTTTTAGCTAAGTCTTTCACACATATTTGCTGATCATTCTCAACTGTACTTTCCTGAGATACGAACTTTAAGGCACACGTGGGTGACACAACAGTTGTTAGATACACCTGCCATTTTTAATTGAGTAGCAGAATGAGAACTCCATGAGACATATTGTTGGTAGGCAATTAAATATAATTCAAGTTTTTGCAGAGCATTTATACCCTCAAAGCTAATAGCTAAATCTGCTTTGTGGTCTACCTCCTTGAAACGAAAAATTTCAAGCCCATTCTACTAAGTGAAGTACCACAAGAATGGAAAAACAAGCACCATTTGGGGATGGACACACTTGAAGCTCTGACTTGGGTGGGGCAAAGGCAGTGTATGTAACGTAAACATTTGTACCCCTGTAATATGCTGAAATAAAAAAAAAAAAAAAGGAAAGAATGAATTAAAAAATAAATTGGCCTGTAGGCTGACCACAGTTATATCACCCAGGACCTTGTTAGAAATACAGATCAGGCAGCCGCCAGCCTAGAATTAAGAAATCAAAACATGCATTTTAACCTGATTCCCAGGTGATTTGTAAGCATGTTAAAATTTCAGAGCCATTGGCCTAGCTCCCAATTTCTGAGTCAGTTTAGAACATGAAACTACACTTAAATAATCCATAATCCCTGTTCTTAAAATCTTCTTTCTTCAATCATGCAGGGCTTTTGAATCAAGGCAAAAGTTATACTATGTAATCCCTTTCATAAACTTTTTGTCCCAAGAGAGGGAATATGACACTTCCAAATAATGCATGTGAACAAGTGGTAAAAACCACACACTTGGTTCAGCATGCCACAGAGGAATTTGTGATTGATTTTTATAAATTGAAGAATGGTAAGTTACCAAAACTATCCTACAGGAATAGGAAACTGAGCTTTGTGAAGCATCAGTAATTCTCAGTCAACACCACTAAAGCCCTCTCCATTCTATGAGGTGCTGTTTTGCTGCAAGAAGTCCACGCCAGGTAATGGAAGGGCAGCCAGTGTCAAGGTAAAGATGCCCACCCTGCTTATTTACATTTGTCCCTGTGGTTGTGGGTTCACTGAAGACTGCTCAAACAGGCCAAATCCTGAACAAAGCCCAATTTTACCTGAGTCCTGTAAGCCATTATATCCCAGAGTAAGTACAAAAAGGAACACACTTAGTGACTGTTTTATGACACCTCATTTCTAATACCTACTAATCAGCAGAAGGTACTTTTTCTTTTCACCTGACTAAGTGGTCATAGGTCCACATGAATAGAGTAGATACAAGAAGAAAGGTCTCACAGAAACCAATGTTCAGATCAACAGGGACATTTGCCAGCTGTTGGGTCCCTGCTTATTCAACAAGAAATACAGTTGGCATCAAGACATCTTTATATCTTCCTGGGAAGAATATTAAAAAAAAAAAAAAAAGAAAACGACAACAATGAAACTTTCATTGGAAGAATTCTCTAACTGAGATACTAAGTTTTACAATCATTTCATTATCTATTCTTGTGCAGAGCCAGAAAAAATACTGTCAACAAGTACCAAGCTAAAAGAATAACAGCCTTTGTTTATTTCAGAAGGAATATGTGCCAAAACAGTAAATGTGCTATTGTCTTCTTTGGGTGTTGAGGGTTTTTCTGTTTTGTTCTGTCTTATTATTTAAATGAAAGTGGGATATAAAGTCTAGACCATGGGGAAAAATGAAGAGACCATGTACAGCACAACTATCCTGGATGATTTTAGCCTCCTTGGAATACAAATGATTTTAACAGCCACTACCTAAGACAAGGCTGCTGGACTAAATAATTCTTGCCCCTGACACTGACTTTGAAAGCATCTCAAAGAAAAAGCACACATGGTATTTCATGAGTATTGTTTATATTAAACAATATAAATCAGAACACTTATTCCTAAAAGATAAGAAAGATCTTGTCACAATGCCCAGCACAGAGTACTCAGTCTATAACCATTTGGTCCCTTTCTTTCTCATTCCTGTTTAACTCAACCAAGCAAAACTCTTTTCTCCAAAACAGATGCAACAGTATTCAAAATGACATTTTAAGGGCCAGGATAAGTACAACTTTCCAAAGAAGTTTTGGGTGTAGGTTTTTGTTTCCAGAACTAGTGGCAGTGTCAAGGAGTGATGTGGGGAACTTTAGATCCTCAGTAATTTCTATTAATCCTTACCCCAGAACCCGATCATAATACATGAATCTCAAAATAAAGGCAGTGCTCTTATTATGCTACTGTAGCTTCAAGACAGGTCTTCTTCCAGCCAGATTGAAACCCCAAAGTTTGGATATTCAGGGGCTGCCACTATTCAGAATCACTACCTAATGCAAGTGTCATTTGCCTTTCTTTTTACTGAAGGAAGCAAAGTCAAGTAGGAAGGATAAAGGTTGGGGCCTGGCAAGTCGGGGTTTGAATACCAGCTGGATTTGAGTACTCATTTTGGGACACCTTAGGAAGATACTAAACCTAAATCTGAAATTGCTCTCCTGTAAAAAATCACTGAGATTACCCAGTGAATGTGGGGCCTCAAATCTCACTAGCATGCTGAAGGACTAAACAAGAGAGTGTCCTTACAGCACCTGATAGACCTTAGCCCCAAGCAAGTACCCACCAAATAGTCTCCTGTGTTGTCTTTCTTTCTTTTTAATGATTCAAAACTACTGATACTTTATGGTCTCCCTCTCGTAAGGTAAAAAAGAGAAAAATCAGCTGAATAACAAAATCACAGCTCTTATTACAACTGGGATTTTATTTTCAGGAGTGTTAATACATCTCTGAGCAAAGAGATTTTCTATTTTATAAGTGATCAAGAAAACTCAGCACCCTACATGAGAGATCAAAAGAGTTCTAGGAATTCATGTTCTTTACTTATGTTTCCATTGGGTCCTGGTTCTGGGCAAAGAGTAGATGCATCTTCTTCTATTCAACTCTCCTTTCTTTATGTGGCACCCCAGCTAAAGAGGGGCTCAGGGAAGAGCTATATTGCTTACTCCAAGTTGCTATAACAACATTGTTGCCAAAATAGCAGGCCACTCAGCAGGAGCCAGAATAGCCTCATAGGTAGCATAGGACTTCTGCTCCTGACGCATGCTCTGTCACCTGTTAAAGGACTGGCTGGGGCAGCTGGGGGACATCACAGCCCCATAGTAGCTAAGGCCATGGACAAGGGTTTCAGAAATCACTGCCCTTTTCACATATACTGATTCCCACAGCCTGTGCTTTAGACCTTCTAAAGATTTCTCTCACTAGGAAGGAACAAAATGATACCTTGATACTATTTGCAGAACTATATAATAGCTGCTTCAGGAACCTGAGTTTTCCCTAAATAATGAGTATTTCTGGGACTGTGGTGAAGTAAAAAGAATGCTGCCTTGTTCTTAAAATTTTTAAGCCTGTCACCTGAGAGAAACTATTAATAGGAAGTGAAACTTCAAATAGAGAGAGAGCATGCAAGCAGACAATGGCCAGAACATACACGACAATGAACTCTGACCCCAACCTCTGCAGCAGCCAGTCCAAGAAGCCAAATCCTACCCTTGACAGTGGTCAGCCAGGAAGGGTCAGGGCTGGATTAATAACTGAGAGATTCCCTATTTGTTCATCCCTCATTTCAACTCAGGAACAACCACAGAAAGCCAAAGATGGTCCTCAAACGAGTCACATAAATGCTCTGTTTCTAATCAGCCCACCTCTAACTTCCCGTGCCAACATCCTTCAATTGGAGCACACCTGAAGCCTTTCCTTTCTTTCACTAAAACCTTTTTCACTTCTCTACCTGCCTTGGAGTCTCTACCATCTAAAGGAGATGGCTGGCTTACCCCTTTGCAATAGCAAAGGGAATAAATAGCCCGTTTATTCTCATTTGGGTGGTCTGTGTTTATTTCCACAAGATTTACTTGTTTGTTTTTATATCTAGTTCACAGACAAGATCTATTTTATGATTTGCAAGGCTAGCAACTATGGAAACTTAAGAAATCTACCACCACCTCTGAGGCCTCTGAGCAACCCCCAAATGTGCCTAAAATGTGCACTCTGCAAACTCCTGTACTCAACAAACCACTCTCCGGACCATCCTCCTCATTGTACTTCATGGATCCAACCATAACAAAGCATAACTCACAGTGATACAGTCACCAGCCATCCCAGTTTGTTTAGAACTGTCCCACTTTAGCACTGGAAGTCTTACATCCCAGGAAACCCCTCCGTCTTGGGCAAAGTGTGATAGTTGGTCACCCTAGGGGACTCTCAACATGCCATGCCATTCCACACCTCAGGCACCGCAAATGCAATTCACTCTGCCAAGAATGCCCTTCCCTCTTGCCATTAACAGGTCATCAGCCAGGTGACTCCTCTCCATCTGCCAAGCCCCTGCCTAAATGCCCACTCCTAGGCAAAGCGTCTTTGACAACACCTCAAACCCCAATCCCAAGCAGACTGATCACACCGTCCTCCAGGCCACACTGTAGCCTGTATGTTTTTGGACATGTCACATGACATAGGGTTGATCTGCTTGTGCATTCAGATGCTTACACAATTAATTCCTTGAGAGCAGGCATTGTATTGTCCCTTCACTGTCATCACCACCAACCTCGTGTTTGTCTGTTTCATGAGTAAATGAATTAATGAATAATTGAATTGCTTAGCTATTACATTTATTAATAAATTGTTCTTTTAGAAAAGAGTCTGAAAGCTCTAGATTGAGATGAAGGGACAGCTTATGTGTACACAGAAGTTGGGCACCTTCCATGAAATATTCTCATTAATCCATTTCAATTACCCAGATTATTTATCTACCTCGATCTGGGTGTTGTTGTCCTGCCCATCGTCCAGTAGCAGGTCTGTGAAGCCTCTGGGCTCTGGAGAGTCTTGGCCCGTACTTGCTCGATTCGTATCTACCGCCTTGAGAGGGTCCAAGTTCCTTTTCCACCTGTGGCTGTGCGAGTGCAAATCCACCGCCACCTCCTCTTCCGTTTGAGGGAAGGTCTGAGCCACGTCATACTGCCAGTCTGAAAAAGGAAGAAAATGTGTTACCACCCATTATAAGTCATACACACATGTGGCATGTACTAGAAAAGAAAAATAATAATTCTCCTAGTCATGAGAATAGGAAACTAACTTATAACACTGAAATCTGTTTACTGGTAATATCTGGAGTTGGTATGAGCAACTCCGAGTAGAATGCAACTGTGGGATACACCAGGAGTTGTGACATGGTTAACGTGTGGATCTTGCAGAGTCCCTAAAACAGATGTGCAGCCCTGAAGCAATGCATTTTTATTCCCTTCCCTCAACCCCTCTGCACACACACACTTCATAAACATTCTCTAGCTGCTCTGAGAAAGCCAGCAAGAATCCAAACAAAGGAATGAAACCAAGTGATTTTCAGTTTATTTGAAAATAAAAGTCAGACATTATTAACTTGTAAGCTTATACTTATTTTCCATTCATTATGCTGGACAGCAAAGAGACAATAGCGTATTGGAATGGGTTAAATAATACACAAAATTATCTTCGTGTAAATGGGTGAGGCTACCTTGTAGCTTACAAGCCGGACTTGGTTCATTGCCTAACTCATTTAATAAGTGACACCCTCAGGATTCATCACAAATGCTCTTGTTCATTTGTGCTGTTCTCACCTTGAAAGCTTGTCAGGGTCTAAAGGATGACAGTGATAGGCACTTATAGAAATGGATGGCAAGGCAAGGAGATCAAATCACAAAGGTATTTTAAAGCCATCTGCAGAGACTGGCCTCGCTGACCCAGCTCATCCTCCTACCACGGGAGGAAAAATGAGATTTAATCATTACTCCTAGTCTTTCATTTTGGTAGGTCAGCCAGGGAAGGTGTACCACAAGTATTGGAAATTCAGTTTCTGAACAAGAACAGCCTTCTTCTACACAAGCATTACCAAAAGATATGAATTGACAGGCTTTATAACTGGCAGAATATGGGCTCAAAAAGGGCTAAGAGAGCAGTGATTTAATTATAGCTGCAATGTTCCCCTCAGTGCCAGAACATTCCAAGAAACCAAACTGTATTTAATGCAGTTTATAATACCACTGAATCAGGTACTTAGAACTCTAATAACTAACTAAAGGCTACCTCTATTAATCATAGGCATAATGGTCTAAAATATCTCCTTTTCAACTCAGAAAGGTGTTCTTATACACAGAGAGGCTATTTGTTGGTTTCACGGGAAAATTAAAAGATCTTTTATTGCCTGATGCCTTAGTGGATACAGCCCAGAAAGAAACACAACCATAGCCTCTGCCATCTAGATCTTTTCTTGGGTTTATAGAGTATTAGAGCTTAAAAGGACCACAGAGACCAAAACAGCAAAGCTCCACAGGGAGAAACCCCAAAGCTGGAGAAATGTAGCATTGTGTAATTCATTGAATTGCTGTAGGCTGAAAAGACCTCGTGTACATAAAGCATTGAGTGTGGTCCTCTTCCCACCATCTACATAGTATGTGTTCAATATGCACACTTAATCAATATTGTCATCATCACTGTAGAAACTGTTTTTTTTTAACACTGTCGTCCCTACTTTCCATTGAAGAGTACTCAATAAATGTTTATTGACTTTCCGAATGAGTAGATGAAAGCATTGTTGACAGTCTCTTTGGACCAAGCATCATAGGACCAGGCAGAATTAAGTAATTAAAAAAACTACTGTGAAAGGATTCAGGACACCTGGGCTGAAATCCTTTCTGTTAGGTTTGCTGGTTGTGAGATCAGGCATAATTTTCAAAAACTATCTGTGCTTTTGTTACCCCATATTTTAAATGGGAATGAAAATATTTTACCTGCAAAAACAGACAGCTTTACCTGAGGAAGTGTCAGGCTCTAAGACCTATGATTCTAGGCAAAGCTATTTGAAGCAATTTTATTTGCTTTATTTATACATACTGCTTCATTACCAAAAACATATGAGGCAGCTTACAACAAAGGTAAGCAATAGAATTTTATATCAGAGATCTCCCAATATGACACTTAGGTCACCATCAGACATAGCATTTGCCTTGCACTTGTGGTGGTAGCAAGTTATACCACTGACAGCCATGTAAATACAAATAGTCATGTAGGAACAACTGAAAAAAGTGTACAGGATTCCTGTTATGATGTCAATATAGATAAGAAATGGTAATAAACATAATGTAGGAAATGGATTAAATGGTCCCAGATAGAAAAATAATAATTAAAAAGAAAAGACATACACACCAAGGAAACAGCTTCAACCAAAGGCATATCAGTCCCCTAAAATGTAAATCAGGAAAAAACCTAAAACTTCAAAGAATTAGTCTTCATTAAAATCTTCAAAACAGAATTTCAAAGCAATGCTTGGTTTCTTTTAAATAGGTGTTATTTTCTCTTCCCTGATATTAATTTCCATCATTTTCTTTTTAGATATTTATAATGTAGGACAGAACAGTACTTTCCAGAATGCTCATTAGGGCTCCTAACCTCACACTAGCCCCTGGGATCTTGCACAGGGCAGGAAGTGCATGGAATGTCTAACATCACAGGGGCTTTCTGTGTAGGATTCTATTCTCAACTTCCTCAAATGCCCTTTCTCATTTTTCTTCCTGCCTTCTTACTCTAGAGAACAAATGAAAAGGAACTTCAAAACTGAGGAGCGATAAAGTCTACATTTCCCACTTAAGTTGAAATTTGAGAAGTCTGATTAATGTGTCAAACTCTTGTTTTTGTAGTGAACATTCAAAGTCATCCTTTAGCAGGATTATTGGGGGATGGTAAATTTAGCAGACAGGTAGGCCTCTGTATGAAACAAGCTTGTATGCTGCTTCAAATTTCCAGACAGCTGTGGGTTCAAATTTTTCCCCATTGTTCACAATGTTTTATTATTTGTTATCTCTTGTTTTGCTGTCACCATCGACAACTATTGCAGCCAAACGTTGACTTGCTTCCATTCTTGTTCCTCCTAGAATTTGCTGCCTCAAACTTTGAAAACCGATCACTTGCTTGCTCTAATTGTATTTACAAAGAGTAAACAGGATCTCAGGAAGAACTGAATGGGTTTTCTAATGAGAAAATTTGTGAGTTTTAGTGCCCAGCTTTTCTGAGTACCTTTGTTTGTTCCTTTTGGTTGGCATTTTAAGTCTAATTCTTTTTTTCCAGTTATGTTATGAATAAGCAAGGCTACCTGATCATGCATAGAGGAAATGTTATTATATGTTCATAATTCAGTAGTACACGGTTCATCAAGACTGAAGTATGAAATTGGCTTGGATTTTCATCCCACTTCTGAATGATTTTTAGAGAAGATAAAACAAGTCAGAGAAGATAAAACAAGTCAAAACTGATGTTTCACAGAAATAAAGACTGAGGATAATCAGAAAAACCACAACTTGGTTATCTATATTTCAAATTACTCCTATGCATTTCACAGGCTTTCAAACTCATAAAAATATTTTATATTATTCTTTAAATCAGCACCAAAAATAATCATTCAGAAGTAAACCAAAGGAATATACGTAATATAATTTTTCCCTTCCCAGCTGTAGTGAAAACAAAAACAACAGGAGAGATCTTTGAATAGTCTGGTTGAACAGACTGTTTGCTTTCTGTCTACTGTATGTTAATTCAACCACTGATGGAAAACTTTCAAAGGTAATTTTTTCCAACATATTTGCCTATAGTTGTTAATCAGATAGCTCATGGAAATGATGAATACATCTTATGACTCCCATTTGGATAAAAAACAGAGAAAGCTTTAAATACACACATTTTTCTATTTACAATATGTACATTGATCTCAACCCATTCTTGAAATGTTTTATTTGACTATAATAGCAGAAAATCTGTTCCTGGAGAAGGTACTTCATTGTTTTTTTCTAATAGAACATTATTATAAAACCTCATAATGTCCAGTTAATGTCTGAGAGTAGAATAAGAAATTCATGTATATCCTCATATTATTCTTTACAAATCTTGCAAGTCTCCGTTGTGTCATCATATACTGTAAAATAACATAAATAAAGTAGAAGCAAAAGGGAAGAAAGCTGTGCTGAGAAGGATATGTTTATATTTCTATATTATTCTAGTGATTTTATTTCAATACCTTGCATTTAACCAATAATTATGTGCTGAAAACATTTTAACCTCATTTCTTGAGTCCTGCATACACACAACATACTCTGAAGCACCAAGTATTAACTGTGTAAATTGACATGCATCTTATGTAATTAGGATCCATCACTACTGTGCCTTTTGACAAACACTTTGGCCTGCACTTTACAAGTGAACCAAATCACCACTGTGAATCCTTTGCAGAAACATGCAGAATGTTCACTGCAAGCAGATTTGCTGGCTAGATGCATCTGAGAATAGATGAAAATATTTGGCTAAGGTAGATAGCCACATGGCTTTGCATCTCAATTTATTGCAGAACTGAAGAGGAAATTCTATAAAAATAGTTAAACTCTTGCATACATCCATTAATGAACTGACTACCCCAGGTTTGAGGTTTTGACTGGTAGCACTACAGTTTAAGACATCTACAGCAGACAAAGCTTACAGAACATTTCATCTAGAGATATTAAGGGCTTTGAGTGGGACCTAGACATCCTAATTTACTGAAGTTGCCCAGGAGATTCTTTCTGTCTTCTTGGTTGGGGACTGCTACATGCTCTATCTCCACCATAGGTACCTTAGCTCACATCTCCATCATCTCTTGCCTTCTATCTGGTCTTATCAAATTCTCCTTTCTCCAATCTTTTCTCCACTAGTTACCAGAGATACCTGCCAAATTGTTCACTTCTCACTCTTCCTCTAACTATAACATACTTCATGCTCTTGTCCCAACTACTCCTCTACCTCTTGCTGGAAATCTTACAACTCCTTCAAGATCCAGCTCCAATATTGTCTTTTCAAATGAACTTTTCTTTGACAGTCCCAAGCAGAGCTAATTGAGTTTTTCCCCTATAATCCAATAACTCCTTTTGCCTGACTCCTTAAACACTCTTGTGCTTACTCCCACTTAAAT